CTGCCGGAGCGGGCCCGGTGCGAGCTCGGTACGGGCCCCGTGCGCTCCCGGTGCGCCCACTGCGCGCCCCGCTCCCCCCCCGCCATGGCAGCGCCGCCCGCAGGTGCGTCCCGCCCGCCCCGCGCTGTGCCGCGGCCGCGCAGGCGCCGGGGGAGCGGCAGTCGCGGTTCGCTGGGCCCGGCCGGGCCGCAGCCGCCGCCGGGCTGACCTTGGGCCCCGGTGGCGGAGCCGGCGGGCCGGCGGCAGCGCGGGGGTGCCGGTGGGCACTGCGGGGTGTGCCCCCACACGGTGCCGGGGCATCGGGAGGTGCGCGGGGTGCGGCGGGCGGCCGGAGCGGGGAGGCCCCGCCGGGGCCTGCCGGGACCCCGCTGCTGCCGCCGCTGCTGCTGCCCCGGCGGCGCGGGGCCTGCCCGCCACGGAGACACTGCTCGCAGCAGGGGCAGCGGGAGCCTCGCAGAACAAACGGCCCTCCCGTTCTTTCCCCGTCCTTTCTCTGCCTTTCTCCCCGCGCGCTTTTCTTCCTTCCCTTTTCTGCTCCTGTTTCGTCCTGCTCCTTTCTGTCTCTCCGTCCTTTCCTTTTGCTTCCCCCTTTCTTTCTCGCCTCCTCGTTTCGGTGTTGTCCCCAGGCACCCCTTGGATCCTGGGATCTCCTGTGTGCTGCCGGTGCTGGGCAGGATGTGAGGCTCGGGAGCAGCCACAGCCTCACAGGGCTGTAGCTTTCTGAGGCTGGGCTGTGGGCGAGGGTGGGATTGCAGAAGCATCTTTTTCTAACTGTTAAATGAATAATCTCCTTCTTCTGTCCAACAGGGCTTGCCAGGTAAAGATCCCTGCAGTCCTCCTTCAGACTGTCTGGCCAAGCTGCCTCTGTCCTCATCCCTCAGGACCCTGGGCCTAGCCAAAGTCCACTCGTGAAACTTCCCAGCAGAGTGTGGGCGTCGAGCGTGGGGCTGATGCAGAGGAGGCAGCGTGGCAGTGAGCTGGGACTTGTGTTGAGTTTCTGCGCCGTGCCAGTGAAGCCACACCTGAGTGGCATCTGTGCCTCCCTGGTGGTGCTCAGCTGCTGCCTGAGCTGCAGTGTTACCCGGTGTTTTGTGCCACAGAGTGTCAGGGCCAGGTTTTGTGATGCTGCTGCCCGTGTTTGATGCAGTTTCGGTCTTTCACAGGTTTTTGGCCAGCCTCTCTTTTGTTCACACAGCGTTTCATTAGCGTGAGGGCCAACCTTTCACTGCTGGAATTTGTAATTCCAGGGGAATTCAATTCTGTTTAACTTCGGAACAGCACAGAGGGGAGGAAGTGCTGCTTTCTGTGGTCGCCTGGCTGTGAGCAGCCATGGCCCAGCCCGTGCCAGCCCTGGCCCTTTGCGGCGTGTCCCCCCGGGCCCGGGGCGTCGTGTGGCGGGTGCTGGGGTGACGCGGAGGCGCTGCGGGGCCGCGCCGCTGCGGGGCTGTCTCACCGGCTCTCCGAGGCACGGGGCACCCCCGCCATGGCTCTGGCGGCCGCCGAGGAGGCGGTGGGCTCCTCGGGCAAGCACTACGTGTGCGGGCTGTGCGCGGCCTTCACCAACATCGCGGTGACGTTCCCCATCCAGAAGGTGCTGTTCCGGCAGCAGCTCTACGGGCTGCGCGCCGGCGAGGCCGTGCGCCAGCTGCGCCGCGACGGGCTGCGCACGCTCTACCGCGGCATCCTGCCCCCGCTGCTGCAGAAGACCACCACGCTGGCCCTCATGTTCGGCCTCTACGAGGATTTCTCGGCGCTGCTGCTGAGCCACGGCCGCGCCCCCGAGCTGCTGACGCGCAGCGCGGCCGCCGCGCTGGCCGGCACCACCGAGGCCGTGCTGACGCCCTTCGAGCGCGTGCAGACGCTGCTGCAGGACTACAAGCACCACGACAAGTTCACAAACACTTACCAGGCTTTCAAGGTGCTGAAAGCCTACGGGTTGCGGGAGTATTACAGGGGATTGGTGCCCATTCTGCTGCGGAACGGGCCCAGCAACGTGCTCTTCTTCGGGCTGCGGGGGCCCATCAAGCAGTGTCTGCCCGAGGCCACCTCGCACAGCTCTCACCTGGTCAACGACTTCATCTGCGGGGGGCTGCTGGGCGCCGTGCTGGGCTTCCTGTTCTTCCCCATCAACGTCGTAAAGACTCGCATGCAAGCTCAGATTGGTGGCGAATTTCAGTCCTTCTCCAAAGTGTTAGTGAAGATCTGGCTGGAGCGCGACAGGAAGGTGATGCACCTCTTCAGGGGAGCCCACCTGAACTACCACCGCTCCGTGCTGTCCTGGGGGATCATCAACGCCACCTACGAGTTCCTGCTGAAGCTGCTGTGACCCCGTCCCGCTCGTGGGGCAGCAGCACTCGGCCTCCTCGGTCCCAGGGAGCAGTGCCTGTGCATGTGACAGGTAATTCCTCCCAGCCTTGCATATTTATGGGGTGAATGGTGATGCATTTAAACCTTGGTGCAATTATGATGAACTTCTTAAAGTATTCCTTTGCTGGCAGGTGAGTTTACCCATCACAGAGCTACCAGACAAACACAAGGTGTAAAAGAGGAAAGAAATGTAGTCTATCACTCCCAAAATTGCTATGCTCTGTGGTGGGGTGAACTCCACTGCCCATGTTTAGAACAGGAGAATCAAGGAGGAGCTGAAGAAAAACAATTCCATTGCCTGATCATCTTCCCAGTCTCGATTTTGGAACTGCATTTTCAGATGTTTTGGGGTCCTCATTGCGTAAAGCTCAAAGGACAGATACCGAAGGGGATGACTGAAGTGCAGAACTCCCACTGCACCTCAGCGTGCTGCAGGCACCTCGGGGTGGCCTGTGGTGACTGTGTCCTCAGCCGTGGCTCTGAGCGTGTGGCCTCAGCCCGGCTGGATCTCCGTGTGTATGTGTGCGTGTTTGTACGTGTGCCTTCCTGTGAAAAGGGAAAAGTGGAAGGAATGGGACAGCAAACTCACTAAAGCTTTAAAGTGTCCTTCCTCGTTAAAAAACACCGAGTTTGTTCTGCTTTTTCTGAGGACTTTCTATTTTTTAATTGCTGCTTTTTCTGTTGCCTCCAGCTGCAGGATCAGGGAGGTGTCCCTGTCTGTAGGGACACTCCAGCTCCTGCAGCTGCTCAAGCACTTCTCACACGGCTTTTTGCACTGCCACGTCTTGTCTTTCTCAGCTCCCTCTGCGGAGTTACCGATCACGGGATGTTTGTACCCAAAACTCGGGGTTCTGCCCGCTTGGTGTGTTCTGCTCATGGTTCTGCAGCACAAGAGTGGCACAGGCAAGGTGAGAGTCCTGGGTTACCTGCTTCAGTGGAGGTCTGTAGGTGTAGTGGGGATGACAAGCCAAAGATGACCTTGGAAGCAGGGAGCAGGAAGGGTGGAGTGCTTGGAGACGTGTTTCAGGACTTCCGTAGGCAAACGTAGAAAAGGACTGACAGAAATCTGTGTCTGACAGACAGGAGTTGAGGGAGAGGAGACTTGAGGCTTTAGATACAGGGACAGAAGATTGAGCACAACCCTGAGCTAGATGAGGGTCCCAACAAAAGTGTTGGAATCTCCCTGAGGGCTTCTTCTTCTTTAATGAAACTATACATTCACAGATAAACCAAAACACGCTGGATGATGGGGAGCAGCAAAGCTTTCAGAAACTGCTTTGAATTTAGTCTTTTCTTAAGTCTTGGAGGGGCTATTGCTTTTCTGAATTTGAGTTTTCCATTTGCTAAAACTGTCTTCCGAAATTGATCCTAATCAGTGTGTTGTAATCATACAGTCCTGAGCTTCAGACAGCAGTGGGTGGGCACAAGCACGAGTTCCTGTATCCCAGTGGTGATTATCTTCATCTAAATAAAATGTTTACTGGATGTTTGTTACTGGCAGAATCTGATTTTTACCAGTGTACCTTCTTTTTGTAATCACTCCTTGATGGAATAAAAACAAAATCTGCATCCCATTTCTCTGTGGAAGGTGTTATGTGCTCCTGTACGGTCAGGGAAGCCAAAGTGCTGAGGGTGAGGGGTTGGCACAAGCCCAGAGCTGGTTAGTGCCCAACTACCCAGCAGAAATGAAATAGTGGAGCCCTGGGTCTGAGGTTCAGAGTCAGTTTTGACTCTTCATATCTCACTTTGAGAAAAATTTAACGTAAAAGCACTGCCGTGACACACACACTTGTGAATGGCAGCATCTAAGCACTAGGAACTGGTTTTCCTCTTAATTTTAGCGGCAGGCAAGAGCCAGCATGGCTCATTGTAACATAAATAAAAGACATTTCGATTCAGTGAATTATTAAATGTTTATTATGCAAGCAAGAGAAACTGTCCACAAATAGTAAGTTACTGTACGGCTGTAAGTACAATACTTCCAAAGCAGTTCTGATACTTCATATACGGTATTAAAAGGCTACAGTCTTTACTATGAAATCTCAGGTATTTCAAAATACTCTACATGCACAATTTGTTTCTGTATTAAAAACCTTATACTTACTGAGGATATTAGTGCTTTAGAAAATGCACATTTGACTAAGATCAGCCAATGAGAAGTTTCTGTTTCCTGCAGGTTAAAAACAAGATGGGTCGTTGACTTCTTCCTTTCTCTCCAACTTTTAGAATCTTGTAAACTAAATTTTTTGAAAGCTTTCATTTGGCAAGTGTATTTCTTTTTCCTAAGAGTTTATATGTCCTAGAGCAACAGACCCATGTATTACGATGTCAGAACCTTCTCCACATCAGTGCTACCCAAATTAAAATCACAACACAAACAAACAAAACCAAACCCCACTAAATTAACGAGAGCCCTCCCCGCCCCCCCGAAAAAACTGATGTTTACATTCTAATTCTGGTAGTAGGCATCGAGCTGTCCTTACCCCAAGATTCCACGAGTGCAAACAATCCTCTGTGCGTGTGTGTGTGTGTGTGTGTGTCGGCACCGCTGTGCTTTTCCTCTATCCCCATGGTGTGGCGGTGCCGTCCCTGCGTGACCCGGGCACGGCGCGGGCTCGGCGGGCACACCGGGCCGGGGGGAGAACCGGCCCCGACACCGCCCGGGCACCGCGGGCACACCGGGCCGGGGAGAACCGGCCCCGACACCGCCCCGGGCACCACGGGCACACCGGGCCGGGGAGAACCGGCCCCGACACGGCCCCGGCACCGCGGGCACCGCGGGCACACCGGGCCGGGAGGAGAACCGGCCCCGACACCGCCCCGGCTCCGCGGGCACCGCGGGCACACCGGGCGTTCTCTGCCGGGAGCAGCCACAGCACGCACAGAGCTCCGGCCCCGCCAAACGCCGTGGAATTCATCCAGGGCTGCCGCACCAGGGCACAGCCACCCCCGCCCTTCATCTCCCTTGGAAATGTTTCCTTACAGTTGTTTCACAGTTTTATACACTTCTCAAGGTCGAGCATTCGACTTTTGAAACACAGCTAGAAGATAAGCTTTTTTGTTTGACTACCTAGAAATAACCCAAAGCTCACCTACACATAATGTCATTGTTTCAGTAATGCTACTGAGAGAGAACTGAAAACACTTGCACCACCACATGACTGTGAGGCATGTCAGCTGTAAGCCACTGAGAAGTGAACTTCACAGGTAAAACATGGTAAAACCTTCATGGAGAACCTCCAGGTTTTTGTTGAAAAGGAGCAATCAATCGAATGACCAAAATCTAAGACTACCTACTTACTCTAATTCAAACTTATTACAAATGTCATCAGAAAAACTAAGTAACATTTCTACAGCATACATGTACGGATTCTGTCATTTTATGCATCTGCTGGACACGCTACAAAAGCATCAAGGTGACCAAACCCCTCCACCAGGTGAGCTGCCGGTCCCGGAGCCAGGCAGGGCCTGACAGCCACCCACAGGTGCTGCCAAGGAGCGGTGACACATCTGTCACACATCTGTCACTTGGGGGTCATGGTCCTCTGTACAGAAAGGTGAGTGTCCAAAGCTCAGCACAATACTGGTGTAAAACACAGCGTATCATGAGGTAGAATTAAAAAGGTAACACTCAGTGCATATTCACAGGCATAGCGTTACAGTCACCAGGGATCCACCAGTCTGAGGAGGTTCTGACAGGAAAACAAAAGCAGCCTTGGAAACACACACAGACCCACCCAGGGACCACCCCGGTCCCGTGGGTGCTCCTTCACCTCCAACACAAACATGTGCAAGCCCATGAGAACGCCAAGGTTCTCTCAAATGTCCCTGTAGTCCCTTCCATGATGTGTAATAAAACATTAAATAAGGTGAGGAAACAGTAGCCTGGCAGTGGGACAGCGAATGCTTGGGGAAAAGCTGCTGTGGTCCTGGGCAGGACCTGGGTTTTTTCCCCAAACAGCTTGGCCCATACAAACTCCTTGTAGCTCTTCCTTTGCATAAAAATCCCGCAGGCCACCACGCTTGTCCCCACGTTTCCTGCACACTGCACTCCCAGGCGATGACCCAGAGCCAGGGAGGTGCCCTGAGTGCTCCCACAACCCAGCAGACCCACCTGCCCCACGTGCAGGCTCAGGCCAGCAGAAGGGATGTTTGCCCTCAGGTTACCTGACACACAAAACCGAAGGCTTTGTATTACCAAATAAATTCTCCAAGAGGAAACTTGGGATGTTCTTCTCTCATAATGCAGAGGAGGCTTAAGTTTCAATGACTTCTGCACCAATACCAGGGTACACTACCCACATAAATACAGAGCTACAGGAGCGTCCTCAGGCTTAGCTTTCCACCTCTCACACGTCCATAAATGTTGTCTTTATCCCCAAATACGTTTTGCAAAAGGCTTTGTAAGAGTCAGCTTTGAACAAGTGTGCTCTGCTGAGCCAGAGAGAGTGTACCTGAACACCAGCAGGTGACAGTCCTTTCAGGTAAAGTTCCCTGCTGAACTGAGTGTGTGACTAGTCTGCAAAACTTCAGTGAAATACTAAAATCCCTCATCTTGGGACATATAAGTGATGAGAATGTTATGAACTGATATGGATGTACAATACCTGTGCATTTACAAGGTTAGTTCTGTAACTCAAGGGCTGAAATCTGGCATTCATACTCTGGGTGTGACCACAGAATCCCCTGAGCTGGAAGGGACCCCCAGGGTCAGGCAGTGCCACCCCTGCCCTGCACAGACCCCCAACAGCCCCACCTGGGCATCCCTGGAGTGCTGTCCAAGCTCTCCTGGAGCTCTGGCAGCCTCAGGGCCGTGCCCATTCCCTGGGCAGCCTGGGCAGTGCCAGCACCTCTGGGGCAAGCAGAACCTTCCCTGATCTCCAGCCCCAATTCCCCTGTGCCAGCCCCAGCCGTGCCCTGCTCCTGTCCCTGTCCCAGCAGCAAAGAAATCGGTACCTGCCCCTCCACTGCCCCACAGGAGGATGTTCAGGAGCACCATGAGATCTCATCTCAGACCACTCCAGGCTGAATAAACCAAGAGATCTCAGCTGCTCCTCATACAGCTTCCCCTCCAGACCATCTCACCAGGGTGATCATCACAGTGCTCCACACCTGATGAAAAGCCTGGTTAGATCCAGGCAGATCCCACTGGTGACAGGTTTGCTTTTAATCCCCTGCCAAACTGACAGCACATGTGAAGAAAGGCTCACCTGGCAATATTAGGGACACATCCAAATTAATTTCCCCCACAGACAGAGTGCAGGCCAGGTGTGTGTGTGGAAAAACAGCCAAGTGGGAAATACCCAAACATCAGCAAAAAGCCACCATGATTCAGACACAGACAGCCCCCTGCAAGAGACACCTGGCAGAGGAGGGGCCAGAGCTGCCCTGCTGCACGAACCCAGAGAGATGCTCTGAGCCAGGGTCCTCCCTAGTGCTGAGTGGTGGCTCAAGGGGAGCCTGCCTGTGCAGGGATGGGCCTGGGTGACCTCCAGTTGTCCCTGCCAGCCTAAGCCACACTGCGACTCATTCTTCTCGCCAATGACAACCACATTAACATGGAAATGAAAGTAAAATTCCTTTTTCCTTTTTTTTCTGGTATTTTGTTTTTGGTAACTAACCGTGTTGCTTACATAGACAAGCAGTCCATTATCTACTGATCACCACAGAGTTGCTTCAGCGACAGAAGAGGAAGCAGAGGTGTGGCAGTCCAGCTCCTGTGGCACAGGAGGTAGCTGGGCACCCTGCCCCTGCGTGCTGCTCCAAAGAGCCCGCTGGAGTTGTGCTGAAGGAAACAATCAAGTACCAGGGTACAAACACAGCAGGACAGCGGCCGATGGCACAGGACCAGCAGGAGCAGAGCTCTGCTGCGGGGCCGTGGGCTCACGGATGCAGGCCCCAGATCCGCACGGTGCTGAAAAATCCTTCCACGCCACGTCCCGAGGCCACGGCCTCCTCTGGGCTCAGAGGGTTTGCAGAGAGCACACTTCCACTCGGCTGGAGAAACACCCAGGCGCGCCCGGGCGCCGCCGCCGCGCTAGAACTTTGGCTGGTAGAGGGAGACGCGTCCGCTAAGGCACCCCGAGGCGATCTGACAGTGCGTGGGGGAGAACTTGGTGGTGAGCACCACGTCGTTGTGGGAGTAGAGCGAGCGGATCTCGCGCAGGGGGCTGGCCTCCCGCGGCAGGCAGTCCACCAGCTCGCTGCAGTGCGCGTCGAAGCCCAGCAGGCGGATGCCGAAGCCGTGCGGGGACGAGATCATGCGGCCGTCGGGGCTGAAGCAGAGCTCCTTGATGTAGCCCCGGCCCACGTTGGCCTCCTCGATGCAGTGCGTCAGGCGCAGGGAGCAGCGCGGGGACACGGGGCGCATCGGGGCTCCTTCCTGGAATTCATAGACACAAGTCCACTAAAGGGAGAGGCAGAGAAAGGGACACTGAAAGAGAAGTCAAGCACTGCAAACACACATTTCCCTCCCCCTGCACTTCTACAGGTGACAGCAGCTCGTGTGAACAGGTAATGGCACAGGAGGGAGATGCTCCTGCTGAGCTGCTCCTCAACCTGCACCCCGAGCAGG